ACCCTACCCTACCCTACCCTACCCTTACACTACCCTACCCTACCCTACCCTACCCTACCCTACCCTACCCTACCCTACCCTACCCTACCCTACCCCTACCCTACTGTACCCTACCCTACCCTACCCTACTCCTACCCTACCCTACCCCACCCTACCCTACCCTACCCTACCCTTACCCTACCCTACTCCTACACTACCCTACCCTACCCTACCCTACCCTACCCTACCCTACCCTACCCTACCCTACCCTACCCTTACACTACCCTACCCTACCCTACCCTACCCTTACACTACCCTACCCTACCCTACCCTACCGTACCCCTACCCTACTCCTACCCTACCCTACCCTACTCCTACCCTACCCTACCCTACCCTTACACTACCCTACCCTACCCTACCATACCCTACCCTTACACTACCCTACCCTACCCTACCCTTACCCTACCCTACCCTACCCTACCCTACCCTACCCTACCCTACCCTACCTAACTGTACCCTACTTAACTCTACCCTACCCTACCCTACACTACCCTACCCTACCCTACAATCCCCTACCCAACCCTACCCTACAATCCCCTACCCTACCCTACCCTACCCTACCCCACCCTACAATCCCCTACCCTACCCTACAATCCCCTACCCAACCATACCCTACAATCCCCTACCCTACCCTACCCTACCCTACACTACACTTCCACCGACAGTCCAAGTTTCAGCTAAATCGGCCCAGAAACGGCTGAGATATTGCAAAAACAAATTAATTGTATTTACTGGCGAATCCCCTTGGCGAGCGGTGCCTTGTGTCGGCCTTCGTTGGCTCTGATGCTTTTCACTCAGTTTTCTAAGCGAACAACTGAGCCTAAAGCACGTGCCCTCTGCTCGGCGCCGGTCGCGGCCCCACCACGTGCACACCGCTGAACCCACCCCCTCGAAAATTTAATACGACAAATGAGTGCACGCGTCCGACTTGCAGTGAAAATTTCACCCCCGTAGCCCTTACCGTTCCCGAGCAATAGCGTGTTTTTGCCGATTCTAATGTTAACCCTATGGGCACGCGAGCACGCGCCACGGGCGCACCCTCGGCCGCATCATGTCCAAAATTTAATACGAGCTACGTGTAAAGGTGGCCCACATCGCTGTAAAATTTCACGGCCGTAGGTCAACAGACGCCGCCGCAATAAGCGCTACAAAGTGACTACGTCGCACACGGCGTGGGCGGCGGCGGATTATTTAGGATTTATAATATAGACTAGAGGTACAGGTTTACGCGATAACTGTATGTTTTGATATGTATGATTAACGGATGCATTAGTTTGGGTGTAGAAACTTGCATTTTTATTGGTATGATTTTTGTAGAACTGGGTAACTGCTTTTAATTGAACTGTAAAGTATGATGGTGATGCATGCGAGTTGTTCGAGCCCTTTGTAAGTTAGGATGTTACTGAACGCAACCCTACCCTACCCTACCCTACCCTACCCTACCCTACCCTACCCTACCCTACCCTACCCTACCCTACCCTACCCTACCCTATCCTACCCCTACACTACCCTACCCTACCATACCATACCCTACCCTACCCTACCCTACCCTACCCTACCCTACCCTACCCTACCCTACCCTACCCTACCATACCCTACCCTACCCCTACACTACACTACCCTACCCTACCCTACCCTACCTTACCACTACCCTACCCTACCCTACAATCCCCTACCCTACCCTACCCTACCATACCCTACCCTACCCTACCCTACCCTACCCTACCTAACTTTACCCTACCTAACTTTACCCTACCCTACCCTACACTACCCTACCCTACCCTACCCTACAATCCCCTACCCAACCCTACCCTACCCTACCCTACCCTACCCTACCCCTACCCTACCCTACCCTACCCTACCCTACTCTACCCTTACACTACCCTACCCTACCCTACCCTACCCTACCCTACCCTACCCTACCCTACCATACCCTACCCTACCCTACCCTACCCTACCCTACCTAACTTTACCCTACCTAACTCTACCCTACCCTACCCTACACTACCCTACCCTACCCTACCCTACCCTACCCTACAATCCCCTACCCAACCCTACCCTGCAATCCCCTACCCTACCCTACCCTACCCTACAATCCCCTACCCAACCCTACCCTACAATCCCCTACCCTACCCTACCCTACCCTACACTGCCACCGACAATCCAAGTTTCAGCTAAATCGGCCCAGAAACGGCTGAGATATTGCAAAAACAAATTTATTGTTTTACTGGCGAATCCCCTTGGCGAGCGGTGCCTTGTGTCGGCCTTCGTTGTCTGATTATTTTCACTCAGGTTTTTAAGCGAACAACTGAGCCCAAAGCACGTGCACTCTGCTCGGCGCTGGTCGCGGCCCCACCACGTGCACACCGCTGAACCCACCCCCTCGAAAGTTTAATACGACAAATGAGTGCACGCGTCCGACTTGCAGTGAAAATTTCACCCCCGTAGCCCTTACCGTTCCCGAGCAATAGCGTGTTTTTGCCGATTCTAATGTTAACCCTATGGGCACGCGAGCACGCGCCAAGGGCGCACCCCCGGCCGCATCATGTCCAAAAGTTAATACGACCTACGTGTAAAGGTGGCCCACATCGCTGTAAAATTTCACGGCCGTAGGTCTACAGACGCCGCCGCAATAAGCGCTACAAAGTGACTACGTCGCACACGGCGGCGGCGGATTATTTAGGATTTATAATATAGACTAGAGGTACAGGTTTGCGCGATAACTGTATGTTTTGATTAATTATATGTGACGGATGCATTAGTTTTGGGTGAGTAGCTTGTATTTTAGCTGTATTATTTGGGTAGATTTGGGTAGCTGTTTTTAATATAATAGCGATAGTTGCGGAGTGTCCAAGTCTTTTGTATGTTAGGCCCTTTTTTTAAATCAACCCTACCCCTACCCTACCCCTACCCTACCCTACCCTACCCTACCCCTACCCCTACCCCTCCCCTACTCCTACACTACACTACACTACACTACACTACACTACCCTACCCTACCCTACCCTACCCTACCCTACCCTACCCTACCCCTACCCTACTCCTACACTACACTACACTACACTACACTACACTACACTACACTACACTACCCTACCCTACCCAACCCTACCCTACCCTACCCTACCCTACCCTACCCTACCCTACCCTACCCTACCCTACCAGCGACAGTCCAAGTTTCAGCTAAATCGGCCCAGAAACGGCTGAGATATTGCAAAAACAAATTAATTGTATTTACTGGCGAATCCCCTTGGCGAGCGGTGCCTTGTGTCGGCCTTCGTTGGCTCTGATGCTTTTCACTCAGTTTTCTAAGCGAACAACTGAGCCTAAAGCACGTGCCCTCTGCTCGGCGCCGGTCGCGGCCCCACCACGTGCACACCGCTGAACCCACCCCCTCGAAAATTTAATACGACAAATGAGTGCACGCGTCCGACTTGCAGTGAAAATTTCACCCCCGTAGCCCTTACCGTTCCCGAGCAATAGCGTGTTTTTGCCGATTCTAATGTTAACCCTATGGGCACGCGAGCACGCGCCACGGGCGCACCCTCGGCCGCATCATGTCCAAAATTTAATACGAGCTACGTGTAAAGGTGGCCCACATCGCTGTAAAATTTCAAGGCCGTAGGTCAACAGACGCCGCCGCAATAAGCGCTACAAAGTGACTACGTCGCACACGGCGTGGGCGGCGGCGGATTATTTAGGATTTATAATATAGGCTAGAGGTACAGGTTTGCACGATAACTGTATGTTTTGATTAATTATATGTGACGGATGCATTAGTTTTGGGTGAGTAGCTTGTATTTTAGCTGTATTATTTGGGTAGATTTGGGTAGCTGTTTTTAATATAATAGCGATAGTTGCGGAGTGTCCAAGTCTTTTGTATGTTAGGCCCTTTTTTTAAATCAACCCTACCCCTACCCTACCCCTACCCTACCCTACCCTACCCCTACCCCTACCCCTCCCCTACTCCTACACTACACTACACTACACTACACTACACTACACTACACTACCCTACCCTACCCTACCCTACCCTACCCTACCCTACCCCTACCCTACTCCTACACTACACTACACTACACTACACTACACTACACTACACTACCCTACCCTACCCAACCCTACCCTACCCTACCCTACCCTACCCTACCCTACCCTACCCTACCCTACCCTACCAGCGACAGTCCAAGTTTCAGCTAAATCGGCCCAGAAACGGCTGAGATGTTGCAAAAACAAATTAATTGTATTTACTGGCGAATCCCCTTGGCGAGCGGTGCCTTGTGTCGGCCTTCGTTGGCTCTGATGCTTTTCACTCAGTTTTCTAAGCGAACAACTGAGCCTAAAGCACGTGCCCTCTGCTCGGCGCCGGTCGCGGCCCCACCACGTGCACACCGCTGAACCCACCCCCTCGAAAATTTAATACGACAAATGAGTGCACGCGTCCGACTTGCAGTGAAAATTTCACCCCCGTAGCCCTTACCGTTCCCGAGCAATAGCGTGTTTTTCCCAATTCTAATGTTAACCCTATGGGCACGCGAGCACGCGCCGCGGGCGCACCCCCGGCCGCATCATGTCCAAAATTTAATACGACCTACGTGTAAAGGTGGCCCACATTGCTGTAAAATTTCACGGCCATAGGTCAACAGACGCCGCCTCAATAAGCGCTACAAAGTGACTACGTCGCACACGGCGGCGGCGGCGGCGGATTATTTAGGATTTATAATATAGATAGATATTGTTATAATAAGTTGTATTACCGTATCTCTGTCAGTCCACAGAGTCACAGACAGTGACTGTATCTCTATCTTTGTCCACAGACGGCCGTGTGGCTGCTGCTGCTGACAGTATCAGTCCACAGACAGTGACTGTATCTCTCTCTGTGTCCACAGACGGCCGTGTGGCTGCTGCTGCTGACGGTATCAGTCCACAGACAGTGACTGCATCTCTCTCTGTGTCCACAGACGGCCGTGTGGCTGCTGCTGCTGACAGTGACGGTAGCCGCCGTCTCAGCCAGAGGCTACCGATCGGTGAGTGACGTCTCCAGGGGAAGAGGGGGATAACTGAACTCACTGGGGGAATAGGGGAATAACTGGACTCACTGGGGGAATAGGGGGAAAATAGACCCACTGGGGGAATAGGGGGATAACTGAACCCACTTGGGGAATAGGGGGATAACTGAACTCACTTGGGGAATAGGGGGATAACTGAACTCACTGGGGGAATAGGGGGATAACTGGACTCACTGGGGGAATAGGGGGATAACTGAACTCACTGGGGGAATAGGGGGATAACTGAACTCACTGGGGGAATAGGGGATAACTGAATTCACTGGGGGAATAGGGCATAACTGGACTCACTGGGGGAATAGGGGAATAACTGGACTCACTGGGGGAATAGGGGGAAAATAGACCCACTGGGGGAATAGGGGGATAACTGAACTCACTTGGGGAAAAGGGGGATAACTGGACTCACTGGGGGAATAGGGGGATAACTGGACTCACTGGGGGAATAGGGGGATAACTGAATTCACTGGGGGCATAGGGGTATAACTGGACTCACTGGGGGAATAGGGGGATAACTGGACTCACTGGGGGAATAGGGGGAAAATAGACCCACTGGGGGAATAGTGGGATAACTGAACTCACTTGGGGAATAGGGGGATAACTGAACTCACTGGGGGAATAGGGGGATAACTGAATTCACTGGGGGAATAGGGGGATAACTGAACTCACTGGGGGAATAGGGAGATAACTGAACTCACTGGGGGAATAGGGGGATAACTGGATTCACTGGGGGCAGAGGGGGATAACTGAATTCACTGGGGGAATAGGGGAATAACTGGACGCACTGGAGGAATAGGGGGATAACTGGACTCACTGGGGGAATAGGGAGATAACTGAACTCACTGGGGGAATAGGGGAATAACTGGACTCACTGGGGGAATAGGGGGAAAATAGACCCACTGGGGGAATAGGGAGATAACTGAACTCACTTGGGGAATAGGGGGATAACTGAACTCACTGGGGGAATAGGGGGATAACTGAACTCACTGGGGGAATATGGGGATAACCTGACTCACTGGGGAATAGGGGGATAGTTGAACTCACTGGGGGAATAGGGGATAACTGAACTCACTGGGGGAATAGGGGGATAACTGGACTCACTGGGGGAATAGGGGATAACTGAATTCACTGGGAGAATAGGGGGATAACTGGACTCACTGGGGGAATAGGGGGATACCTGGACTCACTGGGGGAATAGGGGGATAACTGAATTCACTGGGGGAGGGGTGGAATAATAAGCCTCACTGAGGAAAACTAGTAACCGATGCGGTTCATAATACAAATAACTTAAAAGGAACATCTTTGTTCTTGCGTCATTTTTTTCCAGAAATTTTGTCCTTATGTATGAATGGGTGGCTTTGGACCCGGTTGCCACACTATGCGGTGCTTGTTGTGAATTATATAACCCTCGCCGGACCTATTGGTTTTCTACATACGCGCCGGCCGAGGGGGGGCGGGTACGACCCCCCCCCCTCGCCGTTTCGCCACTGGTGGAGCTAGCGCGTCGCGGAAAAAACGAGCGTGTGCGCCGTTACGAGACGCAGAGATTGGTACCCGATTTTAAGGTCCTAGGTCAACCGGTGACCTCTGAGGTCAGGTCAAGTGCCCCAGGGTACAGTTCAGTTTTTGGTGAATAACTTCGCAAAAAACGGCCGCAGAGCCGCGATTTTGGCAGCATCGTGTTTGCCTCGCTCAGGCGCGTCGAATGATATACTTTTTGTCTGGGTCAGGTCAACTTGGGGTGTTGACCTCAGGTCAAGGTCAGGTCAGCACCCCCAGGTCACGAAGTTGGTCGAATGAGGTCATGTCGCATATCATTCGATTCGGCAGGTCTTCCTGAGTCCATTGGTGGCTTTCTCGACTCGCTAGCTCAATTTGATCAGGAGTTATTGACGAAAAACTAATATGACCTTGATGACGTCATAAATGACGTCACGCAAGGTCAACATTGCAAAAGTGACGCATCTAACCTTGCAAGGAGTGCATCAAATCACGATTCTGTGTGCTTGAGATAGTTGGAGATCGTTCCCGGCGCCAGAATAGCAGTTTTCATTTTTCCCCATTGACTTATAATGGTGAGGTCACGAAAATGACCTGACCTCATATGACCTTTAGGAAAAATCCGAGATATACAAGTTGTGAGACTCATAATGGATACTAGATCCTGCAAGTTTCATTTCCCTGTGACATCTTCTCTGGCAGTGAGGTCGTTGCGAAGTTGCGACATCTGAACACCGTGCAGAGGTTCACTTATGACGTCATAGGTCAGTGACCTGACCTGACCCAAAAATGCGGTTGATGTCAAAAGATGCGGCTTGGATCAAAGGTCAGGTATGCCAAGTTTCAGCTCTCTATCGCCAGCGTGTTCGGAGCTATCGTGAAAAAACCCTATGGGGGGGGCGGCACCCGCCCCCCCCCCCTCGGCCGGCGAGGGATAAAGTACCCACCACCCGACCCTGCCCGCGCCCGATGCACAGATGCTGATTTAACCCGCGCCCTGCTGGGGGTCCTGGATTTCCACGCCCTGCTGGGGGGGGGTGTTTGAACACCCCCCTTCTAACTCGGCTCCTGGGCCACGTAGCGATACGCGGAAGGCGGCGTTCGAAAGAGCGTCAAAAATAATGACGAAATCACTTCGGTCAATTTTTTGGTCAGGGCAAAGGTCAGGTCACCAGAGGTCATTGAAGGCAAAATTTCGCCGATTTCCAGGTCGAATGTCGAAAATTTCCAAGAAGCCAACGCATAACTCGGGAACCAATAGAGCTACAGCGCCGCGGAAAAGCGCATTCGATAGCCCTATTAACGCCCTTTCTGAGTAATTCTCTCAGATTTGACCTAACGTCAACGGTTTTGCCTGCAGGGGGCAAAAACTGCAAAAATAGCCGATTTTTTCGAAAACAGTTTTTCTGCAATAACTTTTGACCCAAGCCTTGTACGAGCTTACTTTTACCGCCATCGTGTTCCTCTCGTCAAGACGCATCGAATGAACTATAACTTGACCTTGAAGGGTCAACTTGAAAATTTGACCTCAGGTCAAGGTCATGACCTGACCGGAAAGGGTCATGTTGCATATCAGTCGATCCGTATCGTCGAGCTGAACACATCTAAGGCGTTTTCATCGCTCTAGAATGCCTCTATCAAAAGTTATTTGCGAAAAACTGTTAGATACCATTCGTGACCTGAGATGACCTCAGGGCATAAACAAGGGTCACGGACACCATTTTCAAGTTCAGTGTGTCTAAAACACTTGTAATTCGGTGTTTGGGAGTGTTTATAATGTCTTTCATCCAAAAGAGGCTCATTTCAATTTTCTCCCATTGACTTATAATGGGGAGGTCGCAAAATTGACCTGACCTTAGGTCATCGATATCAAAATTCTGAGATATACATTTTGTACATGCTATTGCCCGTAGCAATCGCTGAAAGTTTCAAAGCGATCGGTCACTCGGTGTAGCTATGACAGACATTGAAAATTTTTATGAGGTGAGGTCACTTCAAGTGACCTGGTGACCTGACCTTGAATGACCTTGGTCTGAAATTTTCACAACATGTGTAGAATTGATGTATGATAAGGTGTACCAAAAACGGCGGCGCTCCGCGCCGCCGTTTTTGAGATATTCGCGAAAAACCACAAGGGGGGGTGTTCAAACACCCCCCCCCCCAGCAGGGCGCGGGTTAACCGAAAATTATCGACAATATTTAAAAGTGCTATTCAACCACTAAATGTCAGGCGCGGATACAAGGGGGGGCCATGGGGGCCATGGCCCCCCCCCTTGGCCGATTTTTTTCAAAAATAAAATAAAAAGTTAAAAAGTTAAAAAGCTGAAAAGGGGGCCTCCTGAAAATAAAGTGGCCGAAATCCGATGAGTTTTTTTTTAACCTACCCACTTAGTTATTTCTTAGAAGACTAGCTGAGAAGACTTCTTTGTTAGAAGATTGGTAAAGCTTTTCATAACTTGGAGGTCTCTTATACTCACAGAGATGACCACTTTTACAGGGCCTCCTAACCTGCACAGAGGGCCTCCAAGCCTGCACAGATGTTGAGATGTTGCCTGAACAGCTAGATAAGCTCAATAGACGCAGTTTTTTTTGGGGGGGGGGCCAACAAGTGGGAAGATGGGGCCTCCAACAGGTGGGATTATGGGGGGCCCCCTGGTTTCTAATGGCCCCTCCCTTGGAGATTTTCTGGATCCGCCCCTGCTAAATGTAATCATCCGCAAACATGTCGCACCCTATCAACGACGTTTACAAGGTCGCAGCCTACCGATATCGCTTGCAAACGGTCGCAGCCTGCTGATAACGCTTACAAACAGTCGCAGAGCAGCTGATAACGTTTACAAACAGTCGCAGAGCCACTGCTCCACATTACACAACACTTTGCGGCCCCTCTGAACCCTTTGGTGATTGTGGGCATGACACTCACAGGCTCGCGGTCTCTAAGCTAATAAATTACAGACGTTCCCGGATCAGTTCCCTAATTGTTTCAATTTCTAATTAGCACCCTAGTGTCGTTTTGATTATAATAATTCTTTAGGTCACGCCTTGTCGATTGATTTTTTTGATTTTCATGAAATTAAGGTAAGAGTCTGAAGCGTCAATTCATATTTCATATTTTGCTTGATTTTTAAACGTCTTTTAACCCTCGCCCATGTAGGGGGATTTGTGCAATCCCCCCCCCCCCTGAGGTTTTTCTTAGCTACACGCCGAACCGTTTCAGATAGCCTGCTCAAATTTTCAGTGCCCTTTGGGGCATCCTTTGCGCAACTTTTGGTAATTTTTTTGTCAAGGTCATGTCAGGTCACGGAGTTATGACGTCATAAAGGGAACAACCTCCGGCCAGATTTACGCTAAATTGGAGATTGCTTCACATTGGTATAAATGCCGACTGACCTGACGCACTGATGGATTGTTTTAGAATCACAACTGGCTGATTTGACATTGGCACAATGTCCGTTGACATTTTG